GGTTGGATATCTAGAAGGACTTCTTTACAGAAAGGATTGTTAATTGCTGGAATAGGTTCCCTAGGGAGGTGGTTGAGTCACCATCCTTGAATGTGTTTAAAATTTTTCTGGATGTGGTGCTCAGGGATGTGATTTAGTGGTGGAACATTAGAGTCAGGGTAGTATGGTTGGGTTGTGGTTAGACCTGATGATCTTTAAGGTCTTTTTCAACCTGAGCAATCCTATGGTTCCTCATTTTATTCTCTCAAAGTTGTGATTGGAGGACTAAAGCTAAAACACTGTGCTGATATTATGTTCCTCCTTCTCTCCAGGTCAGAGTCTCTACAGAAAAAGAGATATAACTGACTCTTATTTTGCTGCTAAGTCTGAGTCAGGGAATGAGGCACAACACTGTTCTTAAAAACTCCTGTAAAACTTCACGCTGGCTTTGGCACCTTGCTACATAAATTCTCCTGTAAAACTAAGGTGATAAAACTAGATCTCTTGTTGAACGGTTTGTAAATAACCAAAATAGCCTAATCATAGCACCAAAACATCTGAGCTTTTTCACTTCTAAGAAAGTTATTTCTTTACGTAAATTATGTAGACTATACAAGAATTCCAAGTCATGAGGTCGTTACCTCATGAGAAAAACAAAGCAGGAAGCTATTATTGATTCCCAAATAAAATGGCAGTGAGAAAAAGATAAGGAAACTGCACAAACCTAGAGAGAAGGTCTCCACTACTCGATTGTCCCTTGGCTATTGTTTATTAACAGCACTTGTAGAAACCTCTGTTTAAGAGCTGCTGTAATTATAGCCTTTACTCCCAAGGTAGTAGGAGAGAGAACTCAGCAGTGTTGGTGCAGATTGCTTTTGGTTGTTTTTCTTTTCCTCTTAAGTACATAACAAGGAAATAGCAAACTATGCTGCACAGAACCTGCATTGCATCAGAAACTCAGTAAACTGGGGAACAGTTCTTTCAGACATGGAACTTCTGTAATACTCTTCCTGCTCTGAAAAGTATGGGAACTTCTGCTCTTACCTATCCAGTATAGGAAAGAGGGTTAGACCTTTACTGTGGTGGCAAGAGTTAGCAGCAGAATTACTTCAAGCTGAAGACTAAATGACTGTAGCTAAGACCTCTAAGGTAAAGGCTGACAATTTCCCCTTGAGTGTGGCTTTGAAATTGAGTACTAAGTAGCTTCTGCTGACAGATTTGTTTGTTGTCGTCTTGTCTGATAATGGAATACTTGTGATCTAGCAGGTAGGCAGGAACTCATTTTTGGCAGTGACTGATATTCAGAGTTATCCCAAAATCATACCAGACCTGTAAAAGAATGGACTAGTATCAGTCTGTGTGCTTTCTACCCAGACGTAAGAAGCAGTTTAGAGCTGGGTGATAATGGCTCCTGGGAAGATGTGAGGAAGAAGCAGTAGGGATTACTTACATGGCATTGTGTGAAAAATAATGCATTAGTGTTATGTATGTTTGGTGTGCTGTGCTCCACAGAACTAGAACTGTGGTCTTAAAACTGTATCTTTTACTTGGCTTTTTCTTCAGTCAGTGGCATAAATGATCTATGGACTCTGTCTTAAGTCAGTTGGCTTACAACTCCATTTAATGTTCCAGTGAGTGAGATGGATGTGGCTTAGGAAAGTTGTAAACTATGAACCGTGTTTTAAAAGGCTGTGAACTGAAGTCCAGCCTCTTTTGGTTCAGACAGGTAACTAGCCTGTGCTGTCTCAGAATCGATTTCTGCTTATAGAGCATATAGACATGTGTCAACTCTGTTCCTTGTGAAGCTAGATTGCCTAGCAATGAGTAACTATGGTGCTAGCACTCCTGTAAGCTTAAAGCCATAACGGTATTGTACGGCCTCTGAAGCATTCACATGCCATCTGCAACATCCCCTGAAGGACAGTGGAGAAGCCATGTACTTATTGGCAGAGCAGTAATGAACAGTGGGGGCTCTGAAACTGCCATGTCAGGTGTTGTGTTGGACTCAGTTTTGAAGTCACTGCTTGTGGCTAATTGCAACCTCTGTTGCGAAGTGGGTGGAATGTGGTCATTACAGTGAAGCCAATGGTTATGTTAGTTTGTCAGATTTTAATTCTGTATTTTAATTTTAGACTTTATAGCATCTACGTGACATAAAGATTCCTCTCCTAATGTCCTGTTTTCTGCCTTATACTGGGAAACATTAATAGCATGTCTTTTTGCTAAAGTAATAGAAGGCAGACAAGATTCAGTGGTTGAAACAGTAATTGCGTTTTAAGGGAGGTGAGGAAAAATGTTTGTTGTTTTTTTTTTTATATTTTTTAAAAAGAAAAAGGTTCTCTGACTCACAGCCATTGGTCACTTCAGGCAGAGAGATGTTAAAACCTGGGTCATTTCATGGCTGAAAAAAATGTCATTTTACCACTGAAGTAATCTTTCTGAAAAGACTGGTTTGGAATATTAATCGTATCTAAGAGCTGAAAATCATTAGTTGTAGCAGTATTGCCAATGAGTTGTGTATCAGCTACAGTTCACATTTGTTTAGATCCATGGGATTAATAGGTTCATGCTACTGTTACAACTCAAGTTTCAGTGTAACTTTCAAATATAAACACTATAAAGAAGGCAGTAATGACAAGGAAATAATTTGTTCCTTTAATAGGAAATGGATAGTCCATTGGTGAGGTATAAATAAGGCTAATCCATCTTTCAGGAATACAGATTCCTATCCTGCTTTCTAGAATTACTTCTGGATTGAACCATTTTCCATTACTAAAACAGGTGTTAGAACTTATCTCTAGTCTATGTATTTCTTAAAGAGCTGGTGTCTCTTAAATAATAGCTTTGGCACTGCTTAAAATGTGAAGTGATTAAATGCACTGTATTTCTCTGAGTGCCCTCACACCAGTTACTGCTACTAGAAACCTTACCAAGTTGAGAGTGTGCTAAATTTTCAACTTTGAACCTGGCCCTACTTTAATGAGTTTGGGTAGATGCTTATTAAAATCTGTATGTTGGGAATAGCTGAAATTTATAACACTGAGAATGACGTGGGGAAAATAACCAGTGTGGAAATGAGGGCAGGAATGTGCATTCTGTGGCCCAGCACAGCCTGCAATGTGACCACCCCCTGATTATGGCTCTTCCCCATTAGGTGGCTGGGTGTGCACCCATTGCTCACAGCAAGCACAGTGCTGCAAGAATGGCACTGTCTGGGCTGAAACTGGGACACAAGGAGGGTGCAGGGCACTGCTAACACAGTTTATGGCAAATAATTGTGTGCAGTTTGATATAGTGGCTAAACACAGTCCCAAGAACAGTGAGAAATATGTAGTTATGCTTTCTATTTTGATACAAGAATTTGAGAATGTGCTTCAAGATTGAGGAGGAGGGGGTGGAGATCAATTTGTTTGCAACTCCATTCTAAGTTGACATAAATACATTACCAGCAAATTTTCAAAAGCAATGCATGAAGTTGCAGTCAGATGTTCAACTCAATCTGATTGTTTCTTTACCAGACCTTTATAAGCCCTCGCTGATCAGAGAGAAACGGTTCTTTTGCTTTCAATCACACCTTATTCAAGCCATTGCTTTTTGGCAGTGTGCATATTTGTGAGCAACTGTTAAGGGCAAATATGTACAGGAAGAGTAAAACTTCATCAAAAATCTCTGATGAACAGCTTGAGAAATCACTGGGCATTGCAGCCACTGTCATCAAACCAGACCGATGGACTAGTTCCATAAAAAAAGTCAAATATCCCTTTAGTTTTTTGTTTCTGTTGTTCTTTTTCTTTAATGTTGTAATAAAAATAATAAAACATAAAATGTTTTGTTACTTATATGTGAATTATAGTATATACTTTAGGAGGGCTGCTCTAAAAGTAAAACCTCCTATTTTATTATGTTGGCCCATGTCTGATAGCCATGTTGGCTATCAGAGGTGGACATCAGCTGTATGGCAGTAGAGGTTGAACCTTCCTACCATTATCCCATTGCATGTTGTTGCCATGTGGCAGATGGCAGCAGAGGAGCAGTCTGACCAAAAGGCATCTGATGTGGAAGTGCTGACCAGGCAAAGGTGTGGCAATGAATTCCTCTGGGGAGGGAGAGAGGGGGAAGGCACCTTTTGACATTCATTGTTGCTTGCTGAATGTCTAAGGAGAGCAGTGGATGTGAGGCTGTGAGTGATGCATCTTAGTGGTGGCAGTGGGTCACCTCTGGTACAGATTTTTACAGGTGTGGTGCAGGCTCTTGTTCATCACTGATGAAAATGGATAACCAAAGGTAGTGACTGTACTGAAAAAGTGTTTTGTAGCTAAGAATTTGCTCTACCAAACAGTGTTGCTGTACTCATTTAATCTGTTATAGGTTCCATGGGAATAAATAGGAAGCATTACTTTCAGAGCGACCTAGTGGCCCTAAATTATTCCTCTTCACTCAATGCAGCCTAGGCAAGCTGAAAGATTGGACACCCGTGCACAAGTGATGTTTCTCTGTCAATTAATAATTAATCTGTATGATCTGTAGGGGATTCTTGCTGAAGGAAATACATTTTTAAAGAAATGATTGGGTATTTAAAAAAAAAAATCTCCTAGGGGTTACTAACTAAAATAAAATTTGTGATTCAAAGTACTGTGCTTCAAGCAATCTAAGATTTGTGCATGTGTGTGAAATACCATTACAGTTTATCCTGCTGTGTTTCTTAAGCATTGACTATTGACCAGGAGTGGAAGAAGATACTGGGTTAAATAGATGTTTAGTCTGATGCAGAACAGTGATTTGGTATCTCAAAACAAAATGTTAAATTGCATTTGATATGTACTGAATCTTTCAGGACTGTTTAAAGTAAGCATGTTTGGATTTTGTGTTGAGGGACGTGGTTTAGTACTGTTGGTGACAGGAAGATGGTTGGACTGGATGATCTTGAAGGTCCTTTCCAACCATGGTGATTCTGTGGAAATTCTATTGAGCAGACCAAGGGGATGGACCGATTCCCAAAGAATGGGATGAGAAACAAGGAAGAAGCTGAGTTTGTTTTAATTAAGCTAAGCTCCAGAAGAATCTGAAATGATAAAAGCCAGAGTAACAGAACAGATCTTGGGTTACCCCTGCTCTACTCAAACTCACTAAGAATTCCCTGTAATGTGTCAGGTTTATGCTTTACTTGCTGTGGCTTCCAGCATCTGTCTGATCGCCAGTGCTTTCAAAACATGGATTTTCTTAGCATCATATGGAATAAGACAGAGAATCAAGCCATTATAAATTTTCTGCGTGCATCTGTTAAATCTTTCTGGTTGAAGAACCAGGAGCTTTAAATCAGTTCTCTGTATCAGTATTATCAACTACCCAGAGTCACTTGTAATGATGTGGTAAATAATACTGGAGGACAGAACACCAGAAGAACATTCAAGCTTGGTGAGACAACAAGCTAAACAATTAGGGAATTTCACCCAAGGATACTGCTTTGATTAATCACAGAACTGGAAGGGTCGGAAGGGACCTCTGGAAATCACCGAATCCAACCCTACTATCAGAGCAAGTAACACAGGAAGGTGTCCAGATGGATCCTGAGGATCGTGAATATCTCCAGAGGAGGCTCTACAACTTGTCTGGGCAGCCTTTTCCAGTGCTCCGTTTCTCTGACAGTAAGTTCTTCCTTGTTTGTATGGAACTTCTTGTGTTCCAGTTGCTGCCTGTTGCCCATTATTCTGTTGCTGCAAACCACTTAAGAGACTCTGGCCCCCTCGACTTGACTCCTGCAGTTTAGATATTTGTAAATAGTGATGAGATCCTCTCTGTTCTCCAAATTGAATAGTCCAGGGTCTCTCAGTCTTTTCTCATATAAGAGATGCTCAAAGTCCCTAATCATCTTTGTGGCCCTCTGCTGGACTCTGTCTTGAAGATCCCTATCTTTTTTGAACTGAGAAGCCCATAACTGGACACAGTATTCCACAAGTGGCCTCATCAGGGTAGAGTACGGGGGGAGGAGAACTAACCTTGACCTCCTGGCCATACTCTTCTTGATGCACCCCAGGATACTACTGGTCATCTTGGCCCCAAAGGCACACTGCATGCTCAATGGCCAACCTGCTAACCACGAGGGCTTTAAAGTCCCTCTCCTTGGAGCTTGTTTTCAGTTCAAATGCTCTTTCTAAAGTTGCTAGGATATAGCAATATTTAAGTTGCAAGCTGTTCAACTCCTTTATCAATGAATGTGTTTTTGCTGACTTCACTGAAGATGTGAAGTCTCAAATGTGATTGAGGGATTATTTTTCTTCTAAATACATCTTGTCTACCTTAGTTAAACTCATATTCAAAATGACTGGCAAGGAATGGAGTTTTGTTTTTACTAAATGGCTTAGATATGCAGAAGGGGAAAAAACATTTTTTTTAATGCACATATTCCTGTCTCTCTTCCAAAGCCTCAGGTGAAAGAGGAAAAAACAAACACTACCAAAAAACTTAAGTGCACTTGAGTGTATGATGTCTTGATTTTGCTGGCACTGGTTACTGATGTTCATCGTACTTTAATGTAAGCATAAATACAGAGACTAAGTTCTGCATGAGATCAGATATTACCTACTCCCTTCAGAGCAATTCTATTTTTTCTTTTGCAGAGTATCCATGAATATTTAGGCCTTCAAATCACGGCTTTGTACTGCTGTACGTTTATCTCTTTCAAAAAGAGAGAATTTACTCTAACAACTTATCACAATCTCAGCTGTTCCAGTCAAGTTTATCATGGAACATTATTTAAAAGAAAGAACTTGTAGTCAGTGTATAACATCGTTCCTGCTTACACTTCTTTGCTACTGTTCTGTAGCTTACAAGCACGTTTGGAAACTTCTTTAGATGTTGATATTCTTGTGGGATGATTCATATACTATTACTACATGAAATAGTTCTAGTAAACATACAACATAAGTTGGAATTCACTTCCTCAAGCCTTTTTAAAAGGAAAAAAAAAAATCAAATGTATCAAAACAACTGATACTGAAGTATATGTAGAAATGCATTTCTCTCATTTCCAACATGAACCACCACTCCCTTTTTTTAAATAATCAAAAACAACCCCTACCAGTGAAATTGGCATCTAGCATCATCACAGCTGGCTCACAGTCTTACAGCTTAGGGAATGTTCTAGATATTATAGAACTGTGGCTACTGCAATCACACTGAGTTTTTGCTAACAAAAAACTCACTCTGGTTCTGTCTCCAATTCCCTTGATTTACATTTCCCCTCCTTCAGCAGTGTTCATTATTTCCCCAGCTGCAAGTTAAGTACAGTGGACTTCAAAACACAGGCAGTATGCAGAAAAAAAATACAGGTCCTCACTGTAAGTGAACTGCCAGTGCAAACTGCAGCCCCCTTGCAATGAGGCTTTGTATAAAATTAAATGACTGTGTGGTGAAAACATGCTTCAGCAGTCAGTCTGTTGAGTTCTTCCACCACGGTAGTGATGGCTTTCTGCTGGCAGCCACATAGCAATTTGCCCAAGTTGGGTGATGCTTTGCACAAGTTTCATGGTTAAAAAGATATGTATGATTGTGTTTTGTTCAGCACAGCTCTACTTTTTCTGGCTGCAGCACTGCAGAGGGGTAGAAAAAAGAGCCAGTGAAGGATGCTACATGTATCCATCTGTAGTTTTAAAAAGCCCCTTTTGCTAGTTTCTTCCTAATTCTTTGGGTCTTTCTAGGCAGTTCAAAAGTGGGGGCAGGGAATGGGGGAGGTCAATGAGCATACAGTAGGTGACTGCTATCAGTCATTCTCATCAGATTTAGATTATTTATGCTTTCTCTTCTTCTTCTTCTTCTTTTCTTTTTTTTTCTTTTCCTTCTTTCTCTTTTTTTTCTTGTGTTTATCCGAGGAAGTGGAGCTGCTGCTATCTTCATCATCATCGTCATCACTGTCATCACTGCTATCGTCATCTGAGGTGGAATCCTCAAGGAGCTGCTTCAGCTGCTGTATCCTGTGTTTAAAAAAAATGAATGAGAATCCTTTATAGACTCTCCTTGTAACAATTTATTCTAGCTTTCATCTCTTTCCTCCCTAGCTTGAGAAATGGAAGCTGCATGCAAAGAGCAGGGGAACGCTGCCTCTTTTGCTGAATTACAACTTCCATCAATTTTCAGACTGATGACAACCTCTTCTGAGATACACACGTTGAATTCAACATCTTTCCATCCCCTGGGATATCACAAACTAGCATATTTGACAATGCATAAATAAGTCACTCTGAAAGTAATGCCTCCTATTTATTCCCACAGAATCTAACTACAATAAGTTAAAAGAAGCACAATAAAACTATTTGACAGAGCAAATTCTACAAAGCTACAAAACACTATCTTTCAACATAGTCATCACCGTTAGCCATATGTTTTTGCTAGCAGTGGATGAGGGCCTGCATGACACACTCATTTAAATCTGCACCCACGGACTCCTAGCAATGATGCTATGAGAGCAGCTCTACCCACATGGTTCACCTTTCATTAGCCCAAACAGACAGAAATCTGAAGGTGCCAAATCCACACTGTATGGTGGGCATGGTAGGACAGACCATCTAAGACTGGCAGTGTGCTCCATGGTCTTCAAATTGGAATGTGGCATGGTGTCATCATGTTGCAAGATAAGGGTTGTCTTCTTCTCTGGCCTGACTATAGAAGTTCCAGTCTTCAGCTCAGTCATCATTACAGTACAGCATCAGAGTTGATGGTTGGTCCATGTCCCAGAAAGTCCAGAAGCATTACCTATACCTTTCCTATTCCAAAAGACAGTGCATGTTACTTTACCTGCTGATGGCTGCATCTTGGACTTTTTCTTCGATGGGAGTTCACACGTCCCCACTCCATGGACTATTATTTTGATTGCAGCTTGTAGTGGTATAGACACCGTGTCTCAGTACCAGTAACAATGCAATCCAAGAAACTGGCACCTTCAGTCTTGTATTGGTTCAATAGATCCTGACAAGCTTTCATAGCATTCTTTCCATTCCTGTGTGAGCATTCATGGGACTCACCTGATGTAAACTCTGCAACATTCCAAAGTTTCCACCATCATTTCCAGTGCGCTGAAGGCAACGTTCAGCTCTGTTATAATATGCCAATTCATGTGGACGAGCTGATCGAGATGCTCTTCATTTCGTGATGTGACAGCTGTGCATGGCTGTCCAGAATGTGCCTTGTCTTTCATGTCACTGTCACCACTGCTGAAACGTACCACCTTCTACCTCACTGTGCTGACATCCACTGTTTGATCTCCGTAACCATTCAGCAAGCATTGATGAACGTCAGTGGGTGTCAATTTTTCTGCACAGAGAAATTCAATTCCACCCCTTCGCTTCAGATGCACTTCTATGTCAGACACATTTTGTCAAACTGCTTCTCTGCTGCTGTCAGTTTCACAGCAAAGTGTAATGAAATATTGGTTGGAAGGGTCAGTCTCTACTGCCATACCACCAACATCCACCTCTGATGTTGTGGGCCAACATAATAAAACAGAAGGCATTACTTTCAGAGCAGCCAATGTAATTTAATTAAGCACAGAATAAAGAGACAAAAGCAATCACCAGACCACTGTAAGAAGTTCTAACTTTATGCACACAAAGGTGCACACTGGGATTATAATATCAAGAAAATATGTGTCCTGTTGATGAAGAGATGATGTCAATGAAGCTGCCTGGGCAGATTCTACTTTAGATGCAGAGGTATCTTTGACAAGTACTCTTCCTTTGAGCTTTCACAAATTCCTGACAGATGTGGAGGGATACCTGCTGTACACACTGAACAATGACCTCACATGAGGAACAGAATTTGATGCCTAGAGCTAACCTTCTAAAACCATCCCTTCCTGTCTACTGAAAGATTTTTGACATAAAAACAACTAGTGAAGCCAATGAAAAATGTCTTTATTAGACCTAAAAGAGAATAAGATCCAAGTACCCAAACATTATGGTATAAATGAAGGATTCCTCTTTGAACTTTGTTCTGGGAACAAATGTAGAAGGTATTAAAGAGGCAGGAAGTATACAGAATGATCACTGAGAAAGCAGAAATGCATTAATCTCTGATAATAGAAAGAAACTGTCATTAAAAATGTTTGGTTGGTGAGGGTAATATATCAGCATTTCAACCACAAACCCTAAATCAGAATCATGTTATCCAATCAAACTGAAAATGCATTTTACTGCAGAGGCACACTTACCTCATTTCTTTTTCATGACGTTTCGTTTCCCTTATTATGTCATACATTGGATCTTCATGTGCCTTTAAAATGAAAAACAAGAGCCTCATTAACGTGGGCTGATTTTTACTTTCTTAGTTACATCGCTGATGAAGGAGGCTCTCCTTAGGTATACTCCTGCTTTTCCTCTCCAGTCACAGTTGACTAAGAGGTCCCCAGCATATACTGTAGGAATAGTTAGCTAGACACAGAAGGAACACTGAAGTTCAAAATAGTACATACAGTTCCCTGACAGCACATTTTAAAACACAGATACAAACACATGGCAATACAGTTGCTAAGTACTGGAAATTGGAGCTGTCCTTATGTATTACTACTATTGCTTCTTAACCAAGTTCTGTTTAAATTGAATAGGCATTGCAGTAAAAGATAGTTGTGATGGAAGATAGCAAATAAACTTGCAGATATTTAAGGCCAGTTCATGCCAAGCAAGAAGAATTGAGGCTACCATCTCTGTTGGAAGATTCAGCAAACAGAGAGACAGAGAAACAGTATCAGATGCTGATGAAGGTGGGAATTCAAATTTCAGTAGCAAATGAAAGATGGTGGGAATGGACTATGATGGCCCTTGACATAACACGAGAGCTTGATGCAACAGAGAAGAAGCCTGAAAAAAATATGAAGAATAGAGGCAATCTGGTCACAAATGTGAGTCAAATAACTGCTTGCAGCACCATTCTTGCTGGACAGAAGGAGCCCGGATTCCATTTTTCACAGATAGAAAAACACAAGACACAAAGCGATGATATCTTAAAATACATTTTAACAGTGCAAAGCAAAAGAAGCCATGCTGAAAGAATCTGAAAAACAAAGATGCAGTCTCACATAGCAGAAGATCAGAATAGCACACAATGGATGGATCACACACCTAGACAACAGGCTTCATGATGTGGTTGGTCAGTGACAGCAGAAGGTTTGAAATAGCTGTAACAGGCAGCTCAGGCTTTACTAAACATATTTGTTGTGTTTTATTACAAAAATTTATGCTGTAAATACTGACTGAATATGACAGTTGAAAGAGGTTCTTGAAGATTTCCAATTTAAATGTTAATTATTTTCCTCTTGCAGAATAGATTTTTCTTTAAAGCAGCCAAACATTCAGCCACATCTGTAGCTTCTTCTTTATTAGGAGACTTTTGGCCTCTGTATTAAACTAGAGACAGAAGAAAAGTCCTTAACAGATCATCATCTATCTGGCTTCTCTTCACCTGCAATATTATTCATCACCAATGTCAAAAAAAAAAAAAAAAAAGCAATAATAATGCAGCATTTGTACTCACTACTCTAAATTGTTCCAGTTTCTGATTGCCTTTAATAAAGAATGGGCATTCTTTATCCCCTGTTCTGTGTCCATAGCGTTTACACCTCCAACCTTGGGAAAGAAAAAAAAAAACCAACAGTGAATTGCATCTGTGAGCCAGACCAGCATTTAAACAAAACAAAACACAGAGAAGCAGACTTATGGAAAATATTTTCAGTTTTGGAAAAAAAAAATTAAGAAAAAAAAAAAAAGGGAGAGGAAGAGAAGTGTTATATTGATAAATGTAGCTTCCATAAAATAGAAGGCTATTACATTAATCTGTTGATTGTCTTATATCAACATGATGCCAAACTATTTGGATCCTGTCATCTGTCCGCTACACATCCTGCCCTCCCTCCGTGTAAGAAGACATGAAGATCCAGTGACACCTGGAACATTTTCAGCCTTACACTGCATAACTTTGACTTCTTTTCCCAAAGGCATCCAAAGCCCTTTTGTTGGGGCATGTGCCAGAAATTCTCGTGCACTTTCATTGCCTGGTACATCAGGTATGCAGTCTTCTGGTTTTGTTTCCTCTTCCTATGGAGAAAGATAAACACAATAACATCACCTTAACAAACAAACAGAAACAGAAACAGGAACAGCCCACCTTTGTAAGAATCAATATTCCAAGTGTACGGGCCTTCATTTAATATGAAAACTATTTTCTCTAACATTTATTTTTCTTGCAACACAAGAAGGGTCTTTCTCCCTGGCCCTTTCCTACTTCAGATTTTCTGGACATTTATCCTAGCAATTTTTTTTTCAATAAATGATAGAATTGAAAAATCAGCAGAAGCTGAGACTTCTTTGTCGCAACAAAACATAAGAACTAGAAATAGCCTTAACAACATGAAGAAGTATATTGGGGGGTTAAAAACACCAGATTATGGTTTCATTATATACATTCGACAACAACAGTAATCACTACGAAAGTGTTTTTACACAAATATTTTGAACATAAGCAATGGAGAAGAATCCTGAAAAGAAGCCATACAAACTGAAAATATGCTTCACCACACACGATTTCCCTGCACCCATACCAAGTACTACATTAGTTTTCTGTCCTAAGATTTTGGGAAGGAACCAGTACCATCCTATTTGACTCTGAGCATCTTGCTTGAGATTTAGGGAGTCAAAGAGGTTCACTTGCAAACGAGGAGCTCTAAATTGCCCTCTGGAAGCACTTATCTCTGTGATTTATATATAGGTATCCTAGGCCCTTTAACTAGGATACGAGGCACTCTCTGAAAATCACCTGTAAAGCTAAAGATGCACGGCAATACAGGTACCAACCTTAATTAGCCCTGGGGGAGGTTTCTCATAGCTGAAAAGCAATAGAAATGTTGTTACTCTGTAGCTTAGCACAAACAAATCATTGACAAAATACGGTACCCGGATGGGATGGAGTTACAATTTTCACCTCCCGTTTTCCCTTCAATTTTACTTCATCAGTAACCAAGCAGCAGAGCTGGATGCAAGCATGCTGAGACCCCGTGCTCTCAAACTGCCGTGCGTTTGCCATTTTGCAGCACTCATCTCCTGTGAATGCTCCTGCAAGGAGCTCGGCGCTGCAGCCGCCATCAGGCCTCCTGTCAGCTCCTCAAATAGAACAGACCTGCCTACGTGTACAAGCGGGCTCTGCAGACCTCCCAGCTGGACGCACACAGGCGAGCGACCCGCGTATTTCGGCCCTGTTTTCAGCCCCAGGGCCCCGATCTGACCCACGGCTGGCGACAACCAAAGCCCTCAGAGCACAGCGCTGGAAAGGTTAAGAGTTGAAGGGCTCGCTTTCACCGCTTTCAGGACCCACGAGGCCGAGGCGAGGCGCCGGGGTTTGGCTGCCCGAGCCCCGCAGGAGGGCGGGGTGCCGGAGCCGGACTCCGCCGCCGGCAGAGGGCTGGGCCCTGCCAGGCCCGCGCCTACCCAGCGGCAGAACGCTCGCCGTGCCCGAAGGACGAGCCCCGCTCCCCGCCGGGTGGGCTCGCAGCACGGCCTCCGCTCCTTACAAGGACTCCAGGTGCTGGAGCTTCTGCAGCTGCTGCGCCTCCTGCTTCTTCCTCTTCCTCTCGTGCCGGCCCTGGCTCCTGCCGCCGCCGCCCGCGGACTCGTGGGAGCTCCCGTGCCGCGCCCGGCTGCCCCTCGCCGCTCCCTCTTCCTCCTCCTCCCGTCCCCTTCTCGGCCCGTGGGACATCGCCGCGGCGCTCAGGACGGCGGTCACACCGCGCAGACCCCGCCCCGCCCGCTGCGCATTTCGCTTTCACTTCCCGGGCCGGGCGGGGCGCCTCGGCCAAACGCCGCCTTCCGCCGGCAGCGCGGCCCGCGTCGTTGCGGCGCCGCTTCGGTTCGCCGTTGGTGCCGAGGAGGCCGCGGACGCGCTCCTAAAAGCTGCCGCTCGGCCGTGCTGCCTGAGCAGCAGCGCACGTCCTTCTGAGCGCTGCCGGAGCGCCGCGTCCGTCCGCCGGTTCTGATTCCATCGCGGTGTTTTGCTACCGGGACACTGGTTTGTGGTAACGCCAAATCGCAATTGGTTCCATGCGTGGCCCTGTGTCTTTAAGCAATGAGCAAAGCAGGAGAAATGCTTCCAGGCCCCGCAATTATATTTAAGATGTCTGAAAGAACTTAAATGAGATGTAGTATCAAATACTCACTCTATTTAGAGAAGTGGCAATAATTACTAAAAGTTAGGCACCATCTGGGCGGACGCTTACCAAATAGAGACTTTATTTTGGCAGCAAACTCAAGTGACACAATAGGCATTTTCAGTCCCCCTTTAATTCCAGTGATATTTTGCTAGCTTAAATGCCTTTCATTTCATGTTTTCTAACCAATAGATTAGTCAAATTTTGGAATGTTTGACTTTCCAATGCCTTTGGACAGTAATAGAAAAGATAATTCCAAGGTTGAGAAGGGATGCGTGCAGTAAGAAAAAAGAAAGATCTCAGGAAACCATACCAGCCTCACTTTCATTTACCCTTCACTGCCAGCTTGGGTGAAATGAACACAGTTCTGCCAGTCTGGAGCAGGTAAGCATCTGGCTTGGAGGCCTGAGGCACAGTCACAGCAGCATTGGGGGCTGCCTAGAGGAAGCAAAGACAGACAGTGGTATACTGTCCTCTTCCTTCTGTTAAATTAGTGATTAGTAATTTAACACTTCATTTGTAGATAACTCCAAAGTTCCTTGTTTTCCTTTGCTGAGAAAAGCCCTGAATTCCTGCCTCTGTTGCACACTAACCCAGTGAGCCAATTGCTTTAGTATCAGTCCTCAGGGAAGAACAGAAAGTAAAGAACAGCGAAGAAAGAGGGAGATGAAAAAGTATAATGGTTATATTCAGCTCTGTTGGTCCTAGAGCAGAAATCCTCAATATCTGTGAAGTGGTAAAGGGTTTACATTAGCTGAGGCTCTGATTCTGTGTACTTAGTAGGCTGAATACTTGAAGATGACATTCTTTTCTTTATTTGACTACAGTGCTTCAGATATTTCAAGAAGTTAATTTGGGGGAACTGTTCTCATACTGCAACCACTGGCTGTCACAGCACTCTAATTCCAGCCTGCAAGCACTGCAATTGCTACTGCAGTTTAAATGATCTGAAAAGCCTGTGTGTTTCACGATACCCGCCCCGACTGTATTTTTATTATAAACAACTGAATGTTTGAACTATAAATGATAACACTAGGGCCAAATTAATTTGCATCTATGTCACCCCGTAGGCATCAGTGTGCCTATGAGAGTGTAACAGTGGTGGAATGTCAGCCAATCTGTTTTTCTCCATTTTTGGCTGGCTAGAGCTTTGAGATGGGATCTGTTTCTGATTATATTACGCAGAGGAGAGGAATCCAGAACCCATGATAGCCTCCACAGGAAGTTAAGCACCTCGTCATGGGATCCAGAACACACAGCAGCCTGTGCACAGTCTGAATCCAGTGTGGCTGGTGTGCAGCTGCCAAAGATAGCAGATAGAATACATTCATAGTGTGACCTTGGTATCTCAAAAAATACTCTAACCCAGGCACGTCCAACCCATGGTCCAGCACAGCCTGTCCTGCAGCCTCCCCCTGCCCCACACCTCCCTGCCAAGGATTGCAGCCTGGCCCTGGGCATGCACCCACTGAGCATTTTGTTGCTCACAAAGAGCAATAAAACCACAAAACCAGAGAGATATTAACTATTCTTTTCGTGATCCTAATGCATCACTTCAGTTTGATGGCAGTGGCTGCCGTTCTTAGTGAATTCTCCAGGTGCTCATCAGAGGTTTTTGATGAAATCTTCCTATACTTCATCCTCAAAAGCAGTAGTTCCCAAATGTATGTACTGCCAAAACGTGATAACGTGAGTAAGACGTAGTTCTCTAATATACATCTGCTAAGAGAGGTCTTATAAAGGCCTGGTAAAGAGATTGCAAGTGATTGCAGCCCTATGCATGCCATTTAAAATTTGCAAGTACTGTATTTATGTCAACTGAACATGGTTTTGTTTTGTTTGTTTGGTTGTTTGTTTTTGCAATCTTGAAACTTCTTCTCAAATTCCTGTGTCAAAACAGAAAGCAAGGCTGCATGTTTTTCTCAGTTCACAGGACTACGTTTTGCCAGTGTATTAAATTGCACACAATTATTTGCCATTAGGTGAGTCAGCACAGCCCTGCACCCTCCCCACGTCCTGATTTCAGCCCAAGCAGTGCCTATTGTGCACCAATCTGGAGTAAGTGCCTCTCCTTTCTTGGTATGTTGGAGTTTGCACTGGGACACCTGTTTCTCCTCCTGGACTCTGCAGTCTGGAAAACTTTGCTCTGTGAGGTGAGAGCTGAGCCCAGGCCTTCAGGCTTGGGAGGGACCTAGGCAAATGACAGCTTAGGGCGGGCTGCAGGCACTGAGTTTTCTCAGCACTGGGCACAGAAGGTCGACAAGGATGTAGGACAGCAGAAGTGCTCCCTGTTCTCACTGTAGTGCGGCACCAAGGGACTGGTAAGGCCTCAGCAGCACATGTTGCAGGGCAGTGGCTGGCATATGTCTGCCACTCCACTGGTGGTTGCAACCTGCTTGCTAGGAGCTACCACGTGTGTCCTCAGTGACTGCTGCAGGAACCAGTGTGGCTGCCCTGACATAGCACCCCATTCAACTTGCCACTGGGACGGATGCAGGCATGTGGCAGGCTATAGTGTGAACTGTGCTGGGCTGCATGTGTTCTGCAGACTGGACATGTCTGCTCTAACTTATGGCTAATAAGGTCGTCCCACTCTCCATTTGTGTTCCTCTCCACAGAGAAACAGTACAGAAAAGCTTTTGAGATTCATGGGGCCAGAAAGACAAATGTGTCTGAATTTGGCTCTAAGTACACTAGAAGGGGTGCTCATCCTAGTACTGGAAACTGTAATTCTTCATGTAAGACAGAATCAATGCTATGAGCACCATTACACTGGTTGGTAATATTATGCTCCTGCATAGCTGAACCATCAGTGTGGTGTTTCTTGCCATACATCATTGCAGAAAGGGAGTGAGGGAGCAGACTTTTCAATGAACACCATGGCCAAGGCTGCTTTGGTACAGCTTTGACCCTGTGTAAATATCTGCAGGTGCAATCCTTTTAGGAAAATTGGTCAGAAAGGCATCAAATCTTTGATTCTAGCACAGCACAGATATGATCTAGGCATTGAGTTGTTTGTTTCGGCAAAAAGTAGGTTGCTGTGAGTGCTCAAAAATGAGCACTTGCAGGAAAGCATTACAGCTAAGCAAGGAGGAGTGATTGGAAAGTAGGATGGGGCAGCAGCTGAGAAGAGTTACCTGAACTGCAGTTTTAGGCTGAAGTCCCCTTGTAAGACTACATTCCATTTTAAGCACTTAAGATTTTTATTGGATCTATTATGAAGACTGGCAAGCTGGTACTTTGGTTGGTTGGTTGTTTTTTTTTTTCTTTAAATTCTGTTCTCCAAGGCTGTAATAGTTGATTCTATGGATTAGCTTCACCCACCCTTCTGCTATCTTTTTGATTTCCAGGAGTTTGTAGTGGCAGTATAAGGTTCCATCAGAACTGTAATGCTTACTGTCCTTTCATGTCATTACTTAGTGAAAATGGTCTATCTCCCATCTCTCTTCACTATTTTACCTCACTTAAAACTTTAGAGACATTAAATCACTGAGTTTTTTTCACAAGCTTTTGCCCTTGCTTTCTGGTCTTTACAAATAAACATGCAACTGTGAGTATTCTAAGCCATTTTTTTTGTTAAGCATCATTGACATGTTTTCCAAGAACAAGGGTTTAATTTGATGGACATTTATTTGTGTAGTATACTGGTGATATGAGATTGCATCTTCAATTATATACTGAGAACAGGACCCAGATATGTCAGTACCAAGGCAAAGTTTCAGTCAATCTTTGTAGTTGCCTCCGTAAGGACTGAGCACATTTGTAAGCTGCATGCAGTAGGAACACTGAAATGCTAACAGCACATTATGGAACAACAGTGGGGAAGGGAAATTTTGGCTGACAACCCTTGGATGATCTCCCACATTCCTACAAAATATACCATCATTTGTGGGATCATTTGTGCCCAGGCTGAGTGGGCATGACTTTGGTTTCATAAGAAACAGGCAGACACAAAGAATCCACAGTTCTCTATTCATCTGTTTCTGACAGATGAGAGGTTAAGTCAGGATTGCTGCAATTTGAACTCCTTATTAGAGGGATGATAATTCTTCCAGATTGGATGTTCCTCGTGTATTAAATCTATATATATTTCTGCTTAAACCCTACTGGGTGTAGTCTTACTGCCATCAAAGTTAGCAGGAATATTGCTACTGACTTCAAGAGGGATCAAAGCCAGATTCTTTGCCTGGTAGCCTCATTTTTTCATCATTGCAAGACATTCCTCCTTCCAAGCTTAGGTGATATTCTTACATTGGTAACTGATTTGTAAGAACTTTTCCCTTGCAAAAGCAGATTTGTTTCCTGAATGTTGCTTCCTGAAATTCTGTAAGATGCTGACTGATAAAACAGTTCCTATTTTAACGATGCCCAGAGCACCAAGTGAAATAGTCAAGCTCCACCTCAGTGCCAGTACCTGCTCTTGGTATGTCCTCTGCAAGCTGCCAGCTTTCCAGGGGAACATTGGTTTAGTTGCCTGAAAAGACTCCAGTCTTTTTCAGTGCATCACAGAAACTGAAAATTAAATAAGGAAAGAAAGAAACACTTTCTAAAATTTTAAGGCAAAGACTCTTAGTTTGTTT